CTGGTTGAGGGAATATTCGTGGGAATATTCAAGTGCTGCCCCAAGAATTGTGTGTATTTTTCTATAGAGGAAAAAACCAGACAAACGTACATTCTTGTGGTGCAAGGTGTTTGCTTAGTTTGGTACATGCTCCACCTCCAATTCAAAAGTTGTTGAATACAACTTTCTACTTTGAAAGATCCAGACGTTTATTGGTACACTGCTTTTTTCCAACTGACTTTTCTCATTTCCTTCTTTTTTCTTTTTCCAAACAAATATCTTTCTCGTGGGTAAGGCGATGAATTGAAATATACAATACATGTATGTATATATATATATATCTATATGCATATTCTAATCATTTTTTAAGTTGGATTATAATAAAAAAATAATATAATTCAACATTATCAAAAACTTTCTTCAAATATATCGTATTTATATTTTAAATAATTTAGATACATATTTTAAATTAATTTTATTTATATTTTTGATTGCACAATTGCATCCTTTTTTATTTCTAACTATAGAGTTGGTTTATAATTATAATTATCTTTTTATTAAATTATATTCTATTTTGAAACTATATTATAATCAAAATAAGATGCAGTATACATGTGCGTGTATATATATATATTTATGAAAAGGCAATTAAAAATTAAAAAGCGGTATATATTATTTTTAATCAGTTCGATGGCCCAAGTAAACTTGCTTCCAAAGTGATGTTGGCTACAATGAGCTTGAAATGGTCTATGCAAAAAACCTAGTAGTTACAGGACTATCATCAGTCACAGGAGAAACAATCAAGAACCCTAAGTTAGACGGTAGTGATCAAATTCTGCAACAACTTTTATAAAAAGAAAAACGAAACATAAACGACCAAATCTTTTCTAATTTCCTTTATACAATCTTATTTGCGAAAAAGAAGCTCTTATAATCACATTATAAAACGCCTATTAATCATCAAAAAGAAATCCGATGATTACTTTTGATTATCTGGTGAATTCAAAATCAATCAAAGACCGGACTGCGATCGCCGCTGTGACGATCTATTAATTGATCGCAGGACGATCGCTCTGCCGTGGCTCTGCTCTTGATTGAGAATTATGGCGACGCTGTTGGGCTTAACACTCTGTTCAAGCTTCACGGCCGAGGCCGGCGTGACGGAATCATCGGCGGAGTCTCTGGAATTCTGAGATTGCATAGGAAGAGCTGCCTTGCGTCCGGTGTCTGTTTGCGTGGTCGGTGGGCGAGGGTAGAAGAAATCTGTGGGGAAAAAGTTGTACTGTAAACCAGCCATGGATATTCTCCGGTGCAGAGATGCTGAAAAGGAGTTAGCTAGTTGACGACTGTAGATAGACGAGGACGAAGAAGAAGAGGAAGAGGAAAGGGCTTGGATTTGCAGAGTGGATTCGAGTTTTGTTGTTGTTTGGTGTACCGAGTTTTAATATTTGTTGGGTATTTATAGACGAATAGCGAAACAGGGAGGGTTTTAATATGCTTGGGCGTTTAAGTCATGTCAAGTTTAGTTTATTGTATGTTTAAAATTCCTAACCCTTTTTGGTTAATACTAATTAATTTTATTAACCATAACATTATTTACATCATATGTATATTGTTATAAACACGAATAAAGCGTAAAACTGTAAAATTACTGTTAATTTTTCACATAAAATTCATAATTTTGTTATGGGTTAATGATCCTTAATAATTATTTATCCGTAACAAATACGTTTGATGATTTTTGTTTATGCGACTTTAATATATGTAGATTAATTAGATTACGTTAAGAAAATTAGACTAATTTAATTTATGACCTAATCTCCCTAAATTTTACCTCATATGCTTTAATCCCTACCCCTGTATTCTGATCCACAAATTTGAGAGAATCTGTGGGTCCATTTTAGTGACTCATTGTTTAGTATCTAACCCCGCCTGATTTTGCACGCTGAGCAACCTCTTGATTTTAGTAGAAACATGAAAGTCTCTATTTCCAAGTCATAGTGGTTTCGTTCAAAATATAAAATACTTAATAATTTTAATTTGTTAAAATTTTGTAATTTAAGTACAATAACTTATACATTTGAGTGTTTTAAAATGTGTAATGAGCAGATAATTAAAAGGAAAAATAGGTGATGTACGTTATTAAATAATTAAATTATATTAGTATGTTTTGGTTTATTGTTTCTCAAAATCTGTTACAAATAAATCTTCCATAATAAATTTGTTAACTTATTCTTACCATAATTTTACGATTAAGCTAATAACTTAAAGTCTCTAAAATAATAACATTTTAATTATTGAATAATCAAAAATATTTTAGAAAATTTTAAAATAATACTAACTAATTAAATATTAAAAAATAACACAAAAGTTATACTATTTGTTGAATTTATAATTAAATTAGTTTATGACTCTCACCATTATTAATGTAAATTATATTATTAATGAATGTAAATTTAAACGTGGTGGTATGATCAATGAAAAATGCTGTAGTTACTTTGTACTCTTTTTAAAATATGCTAGTTGCCATTAACGTTTTTTTGGGTCTGTTATAAAAATTTGAAACTCATAAGGTCCTGTAGTGGCTTTGGATCATTCGTCAATTCCTTCGAGTTCCCTGGCCTGCAACGATATTATCAATTTCGAGGGCATATAAAGAATAGATATATATATTTAAGCAGATTTTTAAGTAACATATTTAATTTATTTTGTGGTTATAAGCTCAAACATAAATTTAAAATTCTAATAGTTTATAACCTTATAAAATTGACAACCCGAGTTGAATCACTATTTTTATACTATTTTATTAATAAAAGATAAAATTTATATTTTAATATACATACATAACACATGAAATACTCGATTTATATCATCATAAATTGATGA